GTGTTAAGAAGACCATGAGGCAATAGCACACTAATTTCTGTAAACTAGATTGTGTATGAATTTGGAGAAAATGTTAATTACGTTGAAACAAATAGGTACAATGGTCAAGGAACAAATTATCAATTAGAACCAGTTTGAATTGGGCCATTCTTTCTCAGAACTCAGTTCTTCCACTGCTCATAAGTCATAACAGTTACCTTTGTCTGGTGATATTGATTAAAGAATCGAATCCCTTCTATCGTAACAAACTCCATTCAACCTTTCTTCCCACTCCTGTTTATTGAGTTTCAGGCCATGATTGATGTATTCAGATATGGATTTTGGTCAGAGTACACTATACAGACCAATTGATTGCATTGCATGAATTGATTCATGTCATGCATTCCACTTATGGAGTTAAAAAGTCCTTGAATCCTTTTCCACAATTTACTGTACAATCACTTAACAATGTGTTAATCCTATTGCAGTCATTCCCAATGGCTTTTGGGCTGATTTTGATTGGGTTCTTCTTCACCATCATCTCACTAAGGCGAGGTAAGTTATTATACTTCAAAATATTTGTTGTTATGCTATGGATGATGTTTGTTGATTTTGTGTGCTCCATTTGTCTTTTGCGTTGTACAAGTAATAGTTTGTGTAAACCATCTTTCCTCTTTCTTTGTATTCTTAACCCTTATACGCAATGTTCATTTTGTACTTGCAGTTCAATATAATCCTTGGAACCTATTGTTTTCAATGATTTGGGCTAGCATAAGTCTTGGAATTGCTGGATTTGTGAAGGCCAATGGTCGTTTATTCTGTAACAGGCCACGCCTCAACCAACCTAGTCGTTGACTTTCAGGTTCAGGGTGCTAATTGTTTGTGATATTCGCAGAATAGGCCCCAACTCTGCTGCTTTGACACATTCCTCAGTTGTATACTTGTATTCTTTGTAATTCATTTCCCCCAAGGATACAAAACATTGATTATAGCCAACTATTCCTCTGATTTTCCCCTTCTAACTTGTTTTGTATGTTTTATTTGTTTTGTTATCACTATATTTTTAATAGCCAAGATTTTACTGGATTACAACTGATTTTGATTGTATTGCTATCACTTCATATTTTAATACCCAAGTTATTTATGGTATTATTTAATACTTGTTAGTTTTTGCCCAAATGTGTACATGATTTGTAATATTCTATGCTAAAATACGGAGTAACACTTCACTCCATCATGACACCCAGTTATTATACCATGGTCTTAAATTGTCTATTTTTAGTATTGGAATTGTGAATATCTAGAATATAAATTGTGTTTCTAAGTTTTAAGAATTTGTGAATACAATATTTTTTTTTTTTTTGAAAGGGTGAATACAATACATGATCATCACAAATTGTGAATTTTAAAAAGATAAATTGTGAACATTTAGTATGTAAATTGTGTATCTTTGGACATGGATCCACCTTGCAAGGTGAACTAGGATCCACAGAATAATTTGGCCTCTCTAGGTTCACCTTGCAAGACTACTGAAACTATAAGAAAGACTGGAGTGATCCTCAGAATTTGATAGGTTATTGTCAGTTTCTGTTGCTTCTTTCTTATAGTTGAACATGCTGATTTGTGAGTATGTTTGATTAGTTTACACAATGTAAATGTTTTTATGGCTTAAATGATAGCAAAGGGACATATGAGGAAATGATACAACTTTATTAATGAAAATACTGAAGAATTATTTGGATATAGATATACAGACTTGATCTGTAACAGGACTCTAACTGACTGATCTGTGGATTTGGGAAAGCTTTATTATGTTGAAAAAGGGCTTCCCAGAATCCCAGGTGGTTAGGCGTACAGGGCCATGAAGGTACCCTCTCTCTCTCTCTCTCTCTCTCTCTAGTTAGAGCTCTTGGGAGCAGCATAGGAAGGCCAATACAGGTGAAGATCTACACGGTAAATAGCTGTTAGCCCCTCCAGGCTCACCAGTGTTGATTTTCCATAGCCTTGAGCAAACAAGAAATCTCCAGTGCCTCCTATAATTGGGTGATCAGATGGCACTGAAACATGTGTGGCTCCAACGATGGAAATGGTGCCTTTATAGTTCGGTAAGTTGAGGCTGAATATGCAGGTGGTGATGCCAACCGAGCCATCAAAACGAGAAGTGATGAAAGTTCCTTCCTCTTCACCAACCACCTCCGAATCTGGATCTTCTGTAGCAGTCAAAGTATCATGGAACACAACCAAGGAGCCAAAAGGAGAGCCGAATGGAACAAGATCAACTGTGCCTGGCATTCCATCGGTTACAAGGTACGCCGTTTTGTTCAACGTCTCGTGCTGATAAAATGTGAGGTGCACATATTTGGGTTCGTAGAGACTATTGATAGTAGATTGATGAGAATCACAGCTCGCCTGATATGGAACGAGGACGAGGAGGAGAGGAAGGAGGAGAGCAAGATTGTTCCCAGAGAAAGCCATTGAAGTTTGAGGAATAACACAGAATTAGTAGCTCAAGTTTGAGTGAGAGATGGGTTGAGGAGCTAAAGTAGTGACAATTTATAGGGATGAAATTTGAAAAGCTAGCCACCATGGTCACCTAAGGTGGAATAAAATATCAAAATCTCGTCAGGCTCAGCAGACATTTGAGTTACTGAGAGCAGTCTCTCTTGACTCCAGCAATGGTTAATAAATTATTCCTTAAAAATAAAAGGCTGGCCCCACATGGCCACGTTTGTAAATGGAAGCAGGATGGGGCTTTGGTATATTGTTTTTTATAACTTACTGAGAGCAGTCTCTCTTGACTCCAGCAATGGTTAATAAATTATTCCTTAAAAAGGTATGGTTTCATCAGAGGATGTTTCACGGCACTAGACTGCCATGGGATGCTCATTTTGACCCAGGTTTCACCAAACTACGTAGGCTAAACTGTAACACAAAAAATAAAAAAAAATAAAAAATGACTGACTTGATTGGTATGATACTAAGTTTACACACCAGGAATGAGAATTAAAATCATAATGTTATTGTTTGGTTGATAACTTTTTAAAACACAACTATGGATTTGATTACTCCTTCAATTGAAAATTCAATTACTTAATTAAAAGCAGGTATCATTTCATCTAATCCATCCTCACCTGTCACCTTTCAATCTGTCGCCTGCTCACTACATCCCTCAAATTTTTGTTTTGATTTTTTATTTTTGTATTTTTAAAACATTTATTCCCATTATAGGGTTATACATAACCCAACATCAATATTACTAATCTTTTCAATTTCACCCTACTACTAAACATGAAAAATACTTTTAGCAAAACTCATTACCATTACTAAATATTTGATTCTCATTCCGATTTCGATTATCATATGCGAACCAAACACAAAAAGGTTTGCCCTCTAAATTTGAGCATCTTTACTCGCTCTTGTCCTAGAGCTTTAGTGGAATTAAATTTATGGATATGTTTCACCCCGGGACAAATTTATATTGCCCCCTTCGTAGAATGTGGGCAATTTATATCGTGCACCACGGCGTACATAGCAATGTGCGCTTAGGCACAAAACACGCGCATTTCAATTGCTGACGTCACTCTGTCCGTTCAAACGGTCTAAACCCCATTATGTGTATTCAGTTAAAATTTGTTGTGTATTGTGTTATGAGTTTCTGTATATTCAGTTAAGAGTTTCTGTGTATTTGTATTTAGTTAAGAGTTTTTGTGTATTCAGTAAGAGTTTCTGTATATTCAGTTAAGAGTTTCTGTATATTATGTATCATGTTAGATTATGTGTATTCAGTTGTGAATTTATGTGTATTCTGTTATGAGTTTATATGTATTCAAAACAGAGGTTTTTTTTTTTTTTCAATGCACCAAAACGACGTCGTTTTGGATAGGACGGGGCGCACAATGCATTGTGCGCCCTAGTGCACGATATAACGCTTCTAGAATGTGAACCATACACTTTCTTTAAATTAATCAAGCAATTGAATTGTGAAAATTTGTTATTAATGTTTTATGAACAAATTTTAGTTTTAATCATTAACTATTGTTGCATTTGTGTATTACTACACAAGGAGTGGGCGAGAATATGTTTGTTGGGGTGGGGGGTGGGGCGGAGAGGCGGTGTGTGTGTAAAGTTTTAATAAAAATTTATAATGTTAGTCAACATTAGTATAGATCATACTTGATATCATATGATTATATATTATATACATAATTGTATGAAGTCTTATTTTTAATAATCTTTAATGATATTTTATGTAATCATGTATGAAGTCTATAGATGTAAAAGTATGATTAATATTGACGTGGACAGATACTTTACAATTTTTCACATAACACAAAATATATACAACAATAAAAGTGCATTTATTTATATATTATTACTTGTCCCTCTTTTATCAAATAAAAGTTGTCAATTATCTTGTTGACAATCATTTTTTGGAATAATTAACTTATATTCATTTTATTGATTAACTTTAACATTAATTTTTTCAGTTTCAAAACTAATCTTTAACATTAATTTTTTAAGATATAAAAAAAAAAAAAAAAAAAAAAAAAAAAACAAACAAACAAATTGTACTTTGATTCAATTTTTATCGAACGATTCAGTAGATAAGAATTCATTACTCTTTTATTGTTCGGTATATTACTGAACTGAATTGAACTGAATTGAACTGAACTGCTCATCCCTACTTAAAGGTCTAACTGTTGACAGTTTTTAATATTTATTATTATTATTATTATTATTATTATTATTATTATTATTACTTTATTGATAAAATTAATTTTTTAATAAATTGAGATGTGATAGTGGGGTTATTTATTTTTTTAGAGAGGGAAGTGAATTATTTGGACGAAGATTGAATATTGAATAATTGTAAATTTTGTGATATGACATTTTGAAAGTGATAGAAGATTGCATGAGTGGAAACAATTTAACTTGAAACAGCTACAACACTCCATACTGATCTATGGATCATGGACTCTGAGAGAGCTTTAACTTATGAAGATGAAAACTGGGTTCCATAGTTAGATGGAGCTTTTAGGACTGCCATAGGAAGGAGGCCAGTAGAGATGAAGATCTATTCTGTAAACAGACGCTACACCTTCCAGCTTCACCAGCGTGGAGGTTCCATAGCCCGTAACAAACAAGAAATCTCCGGTGCCTCCCACGATGGGGTGATCCGACGCCTCCGAAACGTGGGTTCCTCCCACGAAAGAAAGCGTCCCCTTGTAGGCGGCGGTGTTGAGAGTGAACTTGCAGGTGCTAACAGTCAAGGAGCCATCGAAACGAGAAGCTATGGAGATTCCGTCCACAGTACCGACCACCTCTGAATCTGGGTCCTGGGTTGCAGTCAAAGCATCTTGGAAGACGAGGAGGGAGCCGAACGGGGTGCCTAGCGTGACGAGATCCCAGTTGCCTGGTAAGCCCTCGGTTACGAGATATGCCGATTTGTTAAACGTGTCGTGTTGGTATATGGTGAAGTGTGCGGATTTGGGATGGGGGAGGGGGGATTGGTGAGAATCACAGTATGGAAGGAGGATGGCTGGGAGAAGAAGGAGGAGAGCATGATTGTAGTTTGCAGAGAAAGCCGCCATTGAAGTTTGATGAAAGCTTCAATTCCAGTGAGAGTAGCAGGATGTTTAATGAGGTGTATAGTGTATACTAGTGACTATTTATACTGAAATTCAACCACTTTTTAGGCCTTTTTTATGTGCAGCCATCTTTAATTATATAGTTATGGTCACTTTTTTTTTTTTTTTTTAGTAATATGAGGAACTCATTAAATTTTGTCATATAAGTTGTGTTAGCCTACCCAAGTTTATGGAAAAAAAATCTTACTTCGACAACATGACTTAAAGTAATTAGCACTTCAGGGGCAGGGTGGAGAGTCGACTCTTACTAATTACATTTTGGAGGTAGGACTCCCGAAGCTAGAGTTTGAGTCTTTAACCTCCCTAGATTGGAGATTGGGCTTCCTAAATTAGCGGAAATATAGAGATGGATCCATTATGCGTAGATCAATGACATGGACTGATGGGGTGACTGTTTGAGCGATTTGCGATTTACCTCCTTCAACGACTCTTGAGTAGAAGTTCTAAAGACTTAAGATTAGTCTTACGTAAGTTAAGAAACTTAATGTATTTTAAAATAAAATAAAAATCAAATTTCACTTTCTACAAGAGCATTAAGTGGCCCAACTTCAATTCGATCACTCACAAGTTATGTGACAAAATTTGGTATTTAAAAGACTAGAGCTGGGAACAGGGCCGGTCCTATCATTTTATAGGCCCGGGGCAGGATAAAAAAAATGGGCCCCAGTTAATATATATTTCATGCCTAAAATTTAAATTAAATAAGAAAAAAATTATTAATATCAATAACTTTAAATAAGATTAACAAGTTTTTAACAATTTTACATACACAACAATAATCATGAAAAAAATTTCTAGGTGCTTTCCTTAATGCAAAATAATAAATAATCCTATAAGTGCCTTCATAAATAAATAATATTATAATTTATAAAAATCAATAAATAATTTAAAATCGAGTAAACTTATAAACAATAACATTTATCATAATGAATAATAAATTAATTATTATTAAAAATTTATAAAACAATAATTACAAACATATGGAAAGCTACAAATCTTTTTTGACTAGGAGCAAGAAATTAAAATATTTCAAAACGCAATAAAAAAATGCAAAAAAGATATGAAACATAATTATCTAGATAAAATAGTTTGAACATAAAGCATATTATAAATCACACATCTTCTATATTATTTATATGATTTTCATAAATATTTTTTTTAATACAAATAATTTTCTTTTAAATAGATAAATTTTAAACTTTTTAAGAATAATTTGAATACATATAATGACACATGATAGAAGTTTTTATATTACATTGATTAGATATTCATAAAAAGGTACGGAGTAAATTATCTTTTAATTTTATTTTTTTTTATAATTCAATCTCAAAATATATCATATAACCCCCTCCGTCCTATTTTTACGTGTCTTGTTTGGTTAACATGAGTTTATTGAAGTTTTTTTAATTCAATTTTTCATAATATGTTTAGTATAAGTATATAAAAATTTATAAATTTAGAAATTGCATTAAAAATTTAATATAAAAATTTATATATTTAATATAAAAAAAATTTCATAATATGTTTATTATAAATATATGAAAATTTATATATTTAAAAATTATATTAAAAATACTACTCCATATTAAACATAAAAAATCAATAAAAATAAATTTTTAAAATATACATTAGAATATAAGCAAAGAAGTAAAGTTGAGGAATTCAAAAAGAGTTAATACCCAAAATCGTCCTCGACTATAGTGGTTTTTCTCAATTTTGTCCTAAACGACTTTGGTGACCTAATATCGTCCCAGACTTTTGTGTTTCACTCAATTTAGTCCTCCATTTGTTATTTCGTCAAATTGGTGTTAAATTAAGGGACAATTCAGTAATGTCAATATTGATCTCTCTTTACTTTTAACTTGTGAAGTGCGAAATTCCTCTTTCTTGTACGAATTACACCCAGAATTACTCCCGGACCTGCAAATCAAATTTTATATTCGTAGTTTTAGGAGTAATTCTGGGAGTAATTCGTAAAAAAAAGGATTTCGCAATTCACATATCTATGAGTAAAGAGATGCCAATATTAAAATTACTGAATTGTCTATTTATTTAACACCAAATGGACAGAATAACAAATGAGGGACTAAATTGAGCAAAAACACAAAAGTCTGGGACTAAATTGAGCGAAACACACAAGTCTGGGACGATATTAGGTCACCAAAGTTGTTTAGGACGAAATTGAGAAAAACCACTATAGTCGATGACGATTTTAGGTATTAACTCAATCCAAAAATGTGAAGGCAACGATTGCATCACAGGCCTTTAATTAAATGAGGTTGAAACTCAAGTATCTTACCAACCAAGCTAATTCACCTTACTATAAAACATATGTATATAAATTACTTATATTCAATATATATATACTATACAATATAAGAGATAGGATGGGGCCCTCCCATGCATGGGCCCTGGGTAAGGGCCCAGCCTGTCCTTGCCCCAGGGCCGGCCCTAGCTGGGAAAAGTATAAGTATCATGTACCTATAGTAAAAATTTTTATAATTGTGCACCAATAGTTAAAATTAAAGAATGCATTTCGTTTGAACTAAAATGTAAAACTAATAGTAAAATTATATATTTATATTTTATATTGCATTGTACTCAGTGAAAGTGACATTAATTAAACTTGTGAGGCTAATAAAAATAATAATCACCTCATAAATAAGTAAACATGATTCTGTCCCATTCATAAATAGTTAAATACTACGTATAAGCATCACTCCCTAGTCCCTAGTCCCTACCCACCAGCCGCCTGCACGCCCGCCCGCCGCTTCCTGGTCACGTTTGTAAATAGAAGCACAATTCTTAAATATATTGGAACTTGGAAGTGTTTTTAGTGAATTCGATTAGTGACTAGTGAATTTAATTAGTTGATGGTATTAGTTAATTGTAGATGTTTGATAAATTAATTGTTAACTGATAACTGATTACATGTAAAATGATTTTTAGTAATAAAATAAATTTTTTCAAAAAGCTTATCGAAAAAATTGTTTTAAGTAATTTTTTAAATTTTAACATTTTAAAACAATAAACTATTAAAAAAAATTAATTAACCAATCGTCTAACTGTTTAACCAAGTCAAATAGTTAATAGTATTAATCAAACCAAAATTAATTGATAAGCTAACTATGTTATCCAGCACCCCATTGTTTTTTATTACTTGAGAGCAACTCTTTGACTACAACAACAAAGACGTCAGTATTGAATAATTTGTTTTAGTGAAATTGCTCTCTTTGACTACAACAACAAAGACGTCAGTATTGAATAATTTGTTTTAGTGAAATTGCTCTCTTTGACTACAACAACAAAGACGTCAGTATTGAATAATTTGTTTTAGTGAAATTTATAAATACTTCCGTGACCATTGGTCAAAAGTACAGATATTGTTGACTACAACAATGGATGGCAATATAGGACCATTTAAAATTTAGTCTAAGAGTCGTGTTTTGGTGCGAATGGCGAATTCAGGTGCGAAATGCGAACCAATCAGCGTGCACCACGTGTTCAAATTTAGGTGCGCATATAATTATAATTAGGTGTACCTAAGTGAAAGTATGTGCACTTGTAGGTGAAAATAAATGTACCTGATCAATGAATGTTTTTTTGAGCAAACAAGGAACTTATATTAAGTCAGAGGAAAGAACATTACAAATAAAAGAGGGAGGGGCATCAAGTCACTCCATACGTTCAGGCATAGAAACGGACTCCCTTGCAAGGGTATGAGCAATCCGATTCGCAGAACGTTTAACAAAAGAGATACAACAATGAGCAAAAGTGCTCAATGAATCCTTGATATCATCTAATAAAAGATCAAAAGAAGTGACATAATCAACCGAAGAAAGGCCTTGAACAACCAGTAAGGAGTCCGTCTCGACGTGAAGGAACTCCAAATTGAGACTTTTTGACCAACTTAGGGCTTCCCTAATAGCAAGCGCCTCTGCTTCTCTGGGGGAGAAAATTCCGTTCCATGGGCAGCTGACTACATGCACTTATAGGTGAAAGTAGAGACAAAATTATATACACTTGTAGGTGAAAGTAGGACATGTGTCGTGCGCTGATTGGTTCGCATTTCGCACCTTGACAGCCATTCGCACGAGATCGTGCCCCTTTACTCTAAAATATCAATTTTAGTCCTTTTTTAAAGCATAGTCTATATTATAATTGTGCAATCAATTTTATCTTATACTCTGTATAATTTTTATGGATCAATTTTAGCTTATATTTTAAATACTCCAATCAATTCAATCATTTCATTATTGATGTTACTAAGCCTTCATATTCCCCTTTCAAGGGTGAGATGTCTGAACGAAGGTAGTGGTCATAGCGGCCTTCGTTTCAAATGGTCCAAATCTTAGACAATATTTTTGATTGTGTAAGGACCAACTTGCTAAATAAGTTACATTATGACTCAATCAATTTAATATTTTTGTGAGTTTAAGGGATTTGATGGAACATTTTGATACACAAAGTCCTCAGTTAATCCGTACATACATCTTCTTCCATTTCTTGGCGGATTGGCCATGTTTCTTGGCTCTTGGTTTTGGTTTCCCCTTCATAGCTTCAATCTCCTTCAAATTCTCCACCACTTCTTCCATTGAAGGCCGCTTCTCAGGTATTGTAGGCATCTAAGAGTAAGCTGAGCAGCCTGCAAAGCTGCTTCTGAAGAATACTGTCCTTTCATCCGAACATCCATTATGGATTTCACCTTCAATATTTCTTGAGAAAGCATGGGCTTTACCTAATCCACCAACCTCTGCTGCCCGCTCGGTCGCTTAGGGTTCGTAACCCTGTCATGATCTCGAGCAAGACAACGCCAAAGCAATACACATCGCTCTTCACATATAGATGACCTGTGCATGCATGCCAAAATGATGAATGCTTTAAATTTGTTGTGAATATTTCCCTTCTCTCATGTTGCAGTCAAGCAAGTATGTAGCAAATTAAAGACTCTTTAATGGAAAAGACAGGCTATTGGGGGCAACTCAAGCCAATTAGTCAGGCATTTGACTTTGTAACCGCTACGGTTACAAGTTTGTCCTATTGGCCTTCTTGATTTGAGCCGGTTAACCATAAACAACATAAGCTGATTTACCTCCTTATGGTCCTTTGCCAGCTAAGATCACAAGGTGAAGGCAGGAGTTATCCCGTGCACACCATTGAGTAGTGGCAGCAGGTTTCCCTCATCACTCAAAAAAAAAAAAAAAAAAACAAAAAAAAAAAAAGAGACAAATTTCCAATGTTCATATATGCACCCAAACTCCCCAAGTATGGAGAAGTGAAAACGTTTTTTTTTTTTTTCTTTTTTTTGTGTGTGGAAAGTTTGAGGCTTTGAAAAATTTTTTTACCACCCATATGCATCAAAAGAACTGAGGAAGAATTTTTGAAATCACTTGACAAGTTGGTGTTCATCAGTGGTGATTGACTGCAGGATTTTGACTACTAGGTTAAAAAAAAATTGGAGTCACCACTGTTAGGTTAGCTACTATAGACTCGAAGCATGTACTCACCCGTTTCAACATATTCAGGTGCAGCATAACCGTATGTACCCAATACTCGAGTTGTAACGTGAGAATTTCCACCCGACGGCCGTAGTTTAGCTAACCCAAAATCTGATATTTTTGCGTTGTAATTCTACAGGCAAAAAGACAGAAAATAAAAAGTTCAAAACAAAAAAAAAAAATCAAAACATCAAATGCTTCCACCCACAGGCAATAGCATTCATACTTGCTTAACTAAGGACATTAAAAGCAGAAACTTTACTGGCATGATGCAATTGCTTATATATATATATATATATATATATATATATATATATATATATATATATATATATATATATATATATATATATATATATATGCCCAACATTTGAGTATTTGACAGTAAACTGCATACATCACACTGTACAGAAATCACCAGATTTTAGTTATGTGGAGGATAATTGGTCCTAAGAGCATGAAAGTGTGTCTTCTTGTTTGTATATATACGAATTGTTACATGGAAAATTATATACTTACCCCATCGAGAAGACTGTTGGAGGCCTTGAAATCCCTGTATATGACTTTCGTTTCTGAGGTATGCAATAATTCTTGATGTGTGCTTACTATGACGTCGCACAATGGTTGGAGATCCAAGATTGAAACCTCTATTAAGATTGGGCTCAAAGGCTTATTTGAAACATAGGATTAAGAAATGGGCAATAAAAGTGCTTATTTGGCCACTATATATCAGATTGGGCTTAAAGATCTATATGCAACCAAGGCTTATATAATTTTGGACACTTCAATTATATATTCAACTTCTGTAGCACAGAAGTTGGAGCTAAACAGAGCCAAATAAAGAGAGGAATCTTACTTTCCATGGTAGTCAAAGCATTTGAACCCGTTAATAAAACGAGTTTTAAGTCCAGGTTGCTTTTCCAGCAGCTGGAGCAACAAAAACACATAAATAAAGGCATCATAAATCGACAAATAAAAAGTCTGCATCTGTGAATCTCTAAAAAAGATTCCAAACCAATAAACAACATACAAAATATGTTGTGCACCTTGTCCACGAGAGGATCATAGATCCAACTACTAAAATAGGCGAAGGTTGTGCCACTGTCAATTATAGTCTCTACGCCACCATAAATTTGAATGTCTAGAGCAACACCGCCAACTTCAATTGACTTCAAAATAACAGTATAATGTGACCTAAGACATTAACAAACCCAATGCAAATAGAAGAAACTTTAAAAGTTGAAGGATCATACTGTGCAAAAAAAAAAATACACAACTATAGCAAAAGAATTTCCTAAACAGCAATATAAAATTAAGACTGAAAGATAACAAGTACAATGTTAAATCTAATTGAGAAGTGGTGAACCTCAAAGCAAGAAGTTTAAAAATAGGCGCTATCTCAAGTGCTACAGACGTACTAGTGCAATGAATCAATGATGTGGACCATATAAAAATACAAGGCAAAACTTAATCCATGACAAAAGACAGGAGAGAAAATAAAAATACTTAGCATCACATACTCATATGGTTCAAGCGGTGTTGATTTGACTTTAGGCTGAACTACTTGTCCCATAGCAAGTATGCCACCTCCATTGCGATTCAAACAATGTGAAAATATCTTTTTCACCTTTCTCTGTGCCGTTAGCTGTGAAATAAAGGATGAATTTTCTTGTCCAAAACCAATTATCCCATCAGAAGATTCACGGGCTGTGCTTAACAGTCCAGATACTTCAGATGAACACCTATCTTGGACAAAAGAAACATATTCAAATGCATTACAGATGTACTAGTGCAATGAATCAATGATGTGGACCATATAAAAATACAAGGCATTAAGGCAACACCTTAATCCATGACAAAAGACAGGTGAGAAAATAAAAATATTTAGCATCACATACTCATATGGTTCACGCGGTGTTGATTTGACTTTAGGCTGAACTACTTGTCCCATAGCAAGTATGCCACCTCCATTGCGATTCAAACAATGTGAAAATATCTTTTTCACCTTTCCCTGTGCCATTAGTTGTGAAATAAAGGATGAATTTTCTTGTCCAAAACCAATTATCCCATCAGAAGATTCACGAGCTGTGCTTAGCAGTCCAGATACTTCAGATGAACACCTATTTTGGACAAAAGAAACATATTCAAATGCATTACAGACGCACTAGTGCAATGAATCAATGATGTGGACCATATAAAAATACAAGGCAACACCTTAATCCATGACAAAAGACATGAGAGAAAATAAAAATACTCAGCATCACATACTCATATGGTTCAAGCGGTGTTGATTTGACTTTAGGCTGAACTACTTGTCCCATAGCAAGTATGCCACCTCCATTGCGATTCAAACAATGTGAAAATATCTTTTTCACCTTTCCCTGTGCCATTAGTTGTGAAATAAAGGATGAATTTTCTTGTCCAAAACCAATTATCCCATCAGAAGATTCACGAGCTGTGCTTAGCAGTCCAGATACTTCAGATGAACACCTATTTTGGACAAAAGAAACATATTCAAATGCATTACAGACGCACTAGTGCAATGAATCAATGATGTGGACCATATAAAAATACAAGGCAATACCTTAATCCATGACAAAAGACAGGAGAGAAAATAAAAATACTCAGCATCACATACTCATATGGTTCAAGCGGTGTTGATTTGACTTTAGGCTGAACTACTTGTCCCATAGCAAGTATGCCACCTCCATTGCGATTCAAACAATGTGAAAATATCTTTTTCACCTTTCTCTGTGCCGTTAGCTGTGAAATAAAGGATGAATTTTCTTGTCCAAAACCAATTATCTCATCAGAAGATTCACGAGCTGTGCTTAGCAGTCCAGATACTTCAGATGAACACCTATTTTGGACAAAAGAAACATATTCAAATGCATTACAGACGCACTAGTGCAATGAATCAATGATGTGGACCATATAAAAATACAAGGCAACATCTTAATCCATGACAAAAGACATGAGAGAAAATAAAAATACTCAGCATCACATACTCATATGGTTCAAGCGGTGTTGATTTGACTTTAGGCTGAACTACTTGTCCCATAGCAAGTATGCCACCTCCATTGCGATTCAAACAATGTGAAAATATCTTTTTCACCTTTCCCTGTGCCGTTAGCTGTGAAATAAAGGATGAATTTTCTTGTCCAAAACCAATTATCCCATCAGAAGATTCACGAGCTGTGCTTAGCAGTCCAGATACTTCAGCTGAACACCTATCTTGGACAAAAGAAACATATTCAAATGCATTACATATGATTATTAGGGAATGAAATCAAAGTAATCTACATCAAAAGCACAAGGAAAGATATAGAAAAAGAAGTAAACAATAAATGTATCTATGTATTTATAAGGGAAAGCCTGTTTATGCAAAAGATAAAGCAAACTGGAAATCCTCAACAGAAATTCAAATTTCAAGATGATGACCAAACAATTTTCCTCACTAAGCCCCTGGTCAATAAAGAGAGAAAATAGAAGTGCTAAGGTGAGCGATTATACATTATAAATTTTATTTTTTTAAAAAAAAAAAAAAACTAAAGCAGGAAAAATAATTTCAATTTGTTTTCCATTGCAAAGTTAGCAGAAATCATAACCATTGTTGCAAAACTTGGCCCAAGCGCTAGTCACCTACTCGGTTGGTTGTGTGTGTGTGTGTCTGTTTTAGGTTTGTTTTGCTCAAGAAAGTGTAGTTTTAAGTGAAACAAATCTAAAACCGGTTGGGAAAACATCACAAAGCAACAAATAAAAAATTAAGCTTTCAAATCACCAAATCGAGCAGAAGCGGAGAAGCCTAAGAGTCTGAGTCAAACTATCAGAGACGCCATAGCCCAGTCGTTGCCCTTCACTTTTCACTGGCCAACTGTTACAGCCAATCGAAGGATCGAGACACGATGATGCCATCGCGACTCGATGACAACCATCGCTGCAACTCGACATCGCCGCTGAGAAGGAAGCCGCTGCACCTCGATGCTCCTCCTTTGCCGGTCTAAGGTTTTTCCCTTTTCCTTTTGGCTTTTGCACAATGCACATTAGGAATTTAGGTTTTAGGAAATGTATTTAATATTTTAACTATATATTAATTATTGATTGTTAATAAACTTATCAATAAGGCAAAAAGAGGGTCAAATAGCCCTCCAACTATGAACTATATACCAAAGTGAAATTAGGCAATCGAATTAAAAAAAAGGTTCCAATTGAACTTTTAATTTTAAACTTATAAAAATGGTGCAATTAACCCAATTTCACCTATGTTAACATTAGGTTACCGCAACATAGAACACCACCTCATATTTATCCTTCAATATCCACATAAAATGCCAAATCATCATCTTCTTCAATATTACATTTAAAAGAAAAAATTAAATAAATGACATGGCATCCAAGCTGCCATAGTAGTCATCTATGGCTTCTTTGTCCAGATCCGACGAAGAAGATTGGTCAGCTTCTTCATCCGGATCTGGATGATGAAGCTGCCTGTCTTCTCAGTTCTCAGTCTGATCTGGACGCAGAAGCCATGGCAAGCTTCTTCATCCAATACATAAAATAGTTTCCAAATCTGATTTTAAGATCTATAAAAGTGAAATTACACACACAATTCAATTTCACATTAATGTAATGTGACATTAAACAAAATAGTCAGCAAATATGATTTTAATTTCCAGAGTTCAATTCTATCCTTCTTTATGCATCCTTTATCTTCTCAATAAAATCCAACTACACCCCTCTAGCAACCCAACTTGTTGGCATGAAGATGGATTATGTTCAATTAGTTTCCTGCTGTTTTTACAAGAGTATATATATGTACAGATGTAAGCTTTGATAGAGAGAAGGGTTCGGATGAGAAAGTACAAAAAACCATGAGGCAGACCTAAAGATCTCAAAAGAGTGAAGAGACAGATACATCAATTTCTAAAAGATACATTCATCGGAACAGATTGGGAAGTTGCTTTACTATTCCCTTAGCAAAGATGGAAGAAAATATACATTTTATATCGTTTCCTTTTGAAGTAAATGGAGCAATAAATTCAAACCCAGATTTTGCAATGAAGTATTATATACCCTCAAATCCTCAAATGGGCTTAAAAATTACTCAACCTAAACCCTGTCTCACTTGCAATGTGTGTGAGCGGCATGCATGCACAAGCAACTATTGCATTTTACTTCATAAGATGCAACAGATAAAATGGCTCAGGAATTCTAATAAGCAAGAAAATTAAAACCTTAATTCTCAACTACAAAACAGATGTTCAAAGATTTCCCCCTCTATCCCCTTTTGGGTGGATTTGGAGAAACAAGGAGAAACCATTTTGAAATGTTTTGAAGTTATCAGGCACTTAGAAGTTAGAAGAATAAGTCATCACTAGCTATGAAGTATGAACCAAACATCTTTTACTTTCTGTGTGTTTTTCATCTAGGAAACAATTCCATCACATATGTGATAACCACAATATTAATTTAATTTTGGAAGAAGGATACTCAATAAAATCACTAGTATTGCATACTTACCCAAACAAAACGGTCCCTTCAACGGATGCAGTTTGAAGATTTCAAGTCACTTGATCAATATGAACATAATCATGAACATAGGACCCAACTGTTTTGCTTCCTTACACATAAGAAATCTCATATTCACAGCGCATATACTAGTGCCACAAGCTTTATATGGACCAGTGTTCAATGTATAACAAAAATCTTGGTAACAATTAACCCAACATGCAGTCGAAGAGGCCTTTACATCATACTGCACCAAATCTATCTGTTAAAACACATGACAAAACATTTATTGAGGGATTAAAAATGTAGAATAATGAGCAATAAAAAGTATATAAAGTTATAAACATAATACAGAATAAGAGATGCACCCCTAGGCTGCTCTTTTTCGGACAGCTGTCACAGCCAGCACAATTCACCCATAGTATGTCACTCCCAGTATCAACATAGACATGATAGGCCTTTGGAGGAGTCCCAATCATAAGCTTGGAATAGTGGAGTCTGCAATAATTTAAATACGAACCCAAGTAATCACGCTAATACTATTGCAAATTCCAAAATACAAGTCTTTTTCTGCACTTAGAATTAACAAGAAGTCAAGCACGAAGTAGAGTGGCCACAACAGTAATCAAAAAAGTCAAGTGAGGTTTAGTGTTTGCTGCAAATGCAAACCCATGAAAAAAAGTTGATTTGTGGCTGAGGTACAGAAGTCAAAATAATATCTTAGATCATGAATAACAAAGGACTGACCTGTTAAATAATGCATTACAAAAGCAAAATTAATTACCTAATTTTTTTTACTTCCATTCTACCCTAAGTGCAATGCAAAATCAACAGAAAAATAAATAAGTTTGCAACTTTCACATTCTTTTTTTTTTTCAACAGTTTGACAAGCATTCAACATTTAAGCATACACAGAGAGAGGACTAACCCGACGCCACTGGGTTTTCTAGTTCCACCGATCGGGAAGTCGACGGCGCCAAAATTCGGCCGTGACGGCGTAGGTCGTGGGCCCTCAATCGCTCAGGTTGTAGCTCTCGTGTCCGCCATACTTATGGTGCAAGTTCAACACCAAGTTGTTCGAATATCCATAGCCCAACAAGCACAAAGCCAACAGCAGTACAGTCTGGAGCTTCATTGCTATTTGCTACAATTTCCTTCAATTCTCTGCAATTTCCCACATCAAAACGGAACGGTGAGTCGGGGACGAAGTACGAACAAAATCGGCGGGAAGGAAGAGAAGAAGAAAACGATGACGGAATCCATTTTGAGACACAGACAATGCACGACCGTTGCACGCTTGCCGGCGATGCTCACTTCCGCCATGGCTCTTCTTCTGCAACACCATCTACATTCGCAGAACACTATACTTAGTGACTCCGGAGAAAGGGGAAGAAAGATATCTAAAAAAAAAAAAAACTCAACATGGACACCGAAGGACTTACCACATCGGTTAGGAATTCCAATCCCATTCATTCCTCCTCTTCTCCTCCTTCTTCAGATATGGGAATTAGCAAAAGAATTTGCATATTGGTTTCCAGTGATGATTATATCTGCCAAAACCTGAAGGGTGTATGGTTGGATGTAATTTAATTGTAATTGAGTAAAGGCTTCTTTCTTTTTTTTTGAAAATAATTGAATAAAGGCTTCAATTATAGTGTTTGGTTTGGAATTGTAATTTCTTTTTTTTTTTGTTGAATATATAATAGTCACTAGTATGGCGTTAATTAGTTCGCATTTCATATCTGGACAACTATTCACACAAGATCGTACTCCATTAGTCTAAAATATCAATTTTTAATCTTCTTTTTTTAAAAGCATAGTCTATATTATAATTGTGCAATCAATTTTATCTTATACTCCGTATAATTTTTATGGATCAATTTTAACTTATATTTTAAATAATACTCCAATCAATTCAATCATTTCATTATTGATGTTACTAAGCCTTCATATCCCCCTTTCAAGGGTGAGATGTCTGAACGAAGGTAGTGATCATAGCCGTCTTCGTTTCAAATGGTCCAAATCTTAGACAATATTTATGATTGTGTAAGGACTAACTTGCTAAATAAGTTGTATTATGACTCAATCAATTTAATATTTTTGTGAGTTTAAGGGATTTGATGGTGCATTTTCATACACAAAGTCCTTAGTTAATCCGTACATACATCTTCTTCCATTTCTTGGCGGATTGGCCATGTTTCTTGGCTCTTGGTTTTGGTTTCCCCTTCATAGCTTCAATCTCCTTCAAATTCTCCACCACTTCTTCCATTGAAGGCCGCTTCTCAGGTAGAGATTGTAGGCATCTAAGAGTAAGCTGAGCAGCCTGCAAAGCTGCTTCTGAAGAATACTGCCCTTTCATTCGAACATCCATTATGGATTTCACCTTCAATATTTCTTGAGAAAGCATGGGCTTTACCCAATCCACCAACCTCTGATGCCCGCTCGGTCGCTTAGGGTCCAATGCTCGTAACCCTGTCATGATCTCGAGCAAGACAACGCCAAAGCAATACACATCGCTCTTCACATATAGATGACCTGTGCATATATGCCAAAATGATGCATGCTTTAATTTTGTTGTGAATATTCCCCTTCTCTCATGTTGCACTCAAGCATGTAGCAAATTAAAGACTCTTTAATGGAAAAGACAGGCTATTGGGGGCAACTCCAGCCAAATTAGTCAGACTGTTGACTTTGTAACTGCAAGATTACAAATTTGTCTCCCAGCCATACTGGCCTATTTGGGCTTCTTGGTTTGAGCCGGTCAACTATGAACAACATAAGCTGGTTTACCTCATTATGGTCCTTGAACAGCTAAAATCACAAGGCGAAGGCAGGAGTTATCCCGTGCACACCATTGGGTAGTGGCGGCAGGTTTCCTTCATCACTCAAAAACAAAACAAAAAAAAAAAAGAGACAAATTTCCAATGTTCATATATGCACCCAAACTCCCCAAGTATGGAGAAGTGAAAAAGTTTTCTTTTTTTTTTGTGTGGAAAGTTTGAGGCTTTGAAACTTTTTTTTACCACCCATATGCATCAAAAGAACTGAGGAAGAATTTTTGAAATCACTTGACAAGTTGGTGTTCATCAGTGGTGATTTGACTGCAGGATTTTAACTACTAGGTTCAAAAAAATTGGAGGCCCTACTATAGACTCGATGCATGTACTCACCCGTTTCAACATATTCAGGTGCAGCATAACCGTATGTACCCAATACTCGAGTTGTAACGTGAGAATTTCCACCTGACGGCCCTAGTTTAGCTAACCCAAAATCTGATATTTTTGCGTTGTAATTCTACAGGCAAAAAGGCAGAAAATAAAAAGTTCAAAACAAAAAAAAGAAAAAAAAAATCAAAATATCAAATGCTTCCACCCACAGGCAACAGCATTCATTGTTTCACTTGCACTTGCTTAAAAAAGGACATTAAAAAGCAGAAACTTTAC